GTGAGTTGGTAACACTGTTTGTCTCTATAATGTTTCCTCCCTTGAAGATGTTGGACTCATTATTGTACTCAGTGAGGAGGAAAACAAAATCATTACAGGTAAAGGTGTAGATACAGGTAAAATTACAGGTATGAATTTTAATATGGGTATGGTGCAGGTTCAAAAATAGTATATATTTTTGTTCCCATACGTATTAAACAAACGTAATTACTGTACATACATTCACACAGACGCTAATCAACCGCCCAGGGAGAGAGAGAGAGAGAGAGAGAGAGAGAGAGAGAGAGAGAGGTGGGAGGACGAGGGGGGATGAAGAGAGGAGAGAAGAGGAGAAGATGAGGGAGTAGAGGAATGAAGGAGGAGGGGGGAAAGAGGACAGGAGAGGAAGGGAGATAGCCAGGTACAGTACGGTATACCATGGATGAATGACCTACCTGGTAAAATTTGACCTTCACCTTCCCACTCGATATATCATTAAATCCAATATAAACATTCTCACCTTCATAATCCCACCTGCTACAGAATCTGAATGTATCACTGTGCTTCACCTAACTAAAGATCTTCCAGCGCTTATTAAACACACACAAGTCATCACAGAAACAAACACGACTGATAACTTTATTTACTCTCCGCGGGTACTAAAAAAATTATAGTGGATAGCGGAATTAATTTTTGTTTTTTTTAATTATACGTGTATAATTTGGTTCATTAGTTAACCAATATGGATAATTGGGAATCACATTGTGGTTACTAACTCCAATTTATTATTTTACCTGTTGATTAGACACCTTAACGCTAATTAATCTATTCTAACATATACCCCAGGTAGAGTTAGGATGTTAAATCTTCAGGTGAAATAATAAATTGAGGTGCCTAATCATCACGTATGTAATAAGTATGGATTAAAGTGGCCACATCAGGTAAACAGCAATGATGAAGTAAGATGGACGGAGGGGGACGTTTGGCACTGCGACGAGAAGGTAGAGACGGCGATCGATGATATGCAAATGTAAAGTTCCTCTGGCAGGTTGTGGGTCGTGCTGGGAAGAAGAGGAAGAAGATGTGGAAGAGGAGGAGGGGAAGGAAGAAGAGGGTAAGAGGGGGGGGAGGATATTGACGGAGATTCTTCATTTGATCCCGATTTTCTCCCTCTGATATACTTGAGACCATTGGGGATCAGTGTCGGAGTGTGAGAAAACGGTCTAGCTGGAGCTCTAAGGCGCGTAGCAACAACCATCCGGCGTGGGAGTGGGAGGGAGTGGGAGAGTGGGAGCCATAACAACACGTGTGTGGGCGTGGTGAAGTCTTGTGTTCGACTCACGTGGCTGGTTGAACACCTGTGGCAGCTACACGTAGGTGGGGGAAAGGGAAGGGAGGGGTGAGAAAGGGGGAAGGGGGTAGGGAAGGAAGTAAAGGAAGGGGGAATGGGTGAGAAAGGGGACAGGAGGAGGAGGAGGAGGAGGAGGACGACACACTTGCCTAATAGCAAGGGCCACGTACTCGTCCACGAACTCAAAACAAACAAACAAACAAACAAACAAACAAACAAAACAACAACAACAAGGATGGTGAGAAACAAAGGAGTTAAATGAGAGATATCGTCCAGGAGGTTCAACAAGGTGGTTCTAGGTTCAGTATGTGTCTCGAAAATCATTGAATCACCTGAAGATTACCTCCTCCCAGCTTAATTCACCTTAGCATTAACCACCGTAACGCTAATCTACAATCTAAACTACCCTAATAGAACCTAATCTAACCTAACCCAATTAAACTTAATCTAACCTAATTAAACATACAGGTACAGTTGTTGTGGTGGTGGTGGTGAATACAGGTGTAGTTACATCCATAATAAGTGTTACACAGGTGAGCCCTTTACCTAGATATGATCAGAATTGCTTTTGCCAGGTGAGCTGTATATTTTACCTGCTAATCTTTACTCTCGTTGTGTGATTGATCAGATTGGTTGGTTGTCATTTCTATTTGTTTATTACCTGTTACCCTCCGCATCACCTTATTTGTTCGGTGCCTGTCAGTCTGTCAGTCAGTGTTGCCAAGTTGTTGTCCAGACGAAATCCCAAGAGGTAAATTACTGTATTCTCGAGGTATTTTATATGTCTCTTGTTTTATCATCTCTCTCTCTCTCTCTCTCTCTCTCTCTCTCTCTCTCTCTCTCTCTCTCTCTCTCTTCGTTGCAATTCCTTTTTCTCCTCTGTACCTGTCGTCATTCCTTCCTCTTTCGCTTACCATTTCATCATTATATTTTCCCGGCTAATTAAAAAGTCATAATAATGATAATAATAATAATAATAATAATAATAATAATAATAATAATAATAATAATAATCAGAGGCGAGGCGGCGAGTGAGGGAGTGGGTGAGGTGGCGGGAGGGCGAGTGGCCAAGGACTCTCTTACTCGCCATGGTTGGAAAGGCGGTAACACAAAACAACACTTTCACTTGCCGTAGTTTCAACCCACATTATCCATCACCCATTACCCCCCCTTTTCTCCCCTTACCCAGTGGCTCTCCCTTACCCCTACTAACTACAGTATACCCTTTACTGAGCACTCTCCCCTATCATCTATAGTTCTTCCATAGTCCCCCCTTCCTCCCTCCTTGTTTTCTTTGTTCAGCCAATTCTTTCTATCCATAGCTCATAATCTTAATAACAAAGATACTTAAGAATAAAACGTTACTAAATTGAGCTTCACGTCCTAAGTTCCCTATAGCAAAAATATTAAGAAAATAAACTTTAATGTAAATACTTCAATATCTTATTAAAGTTTATTCTCTAAAACTTTTAATTATCGTTCGTGTTGCAGCGACTGTTGCCATATACACGAAAATATAATAGTTGTTTTTTTAAGATAAAATCAGTCAAATGGAGGTAAATAGAGCGTAGGAATAAATTCTCTGAGGTTCATTACAAAACTGTGGTAGACTAATACTGATGAGAGCTTATGAAGAAAATAGAGATAAATATGGTGGATAATAGCGGGTATTGGCAACTGGACCGGTATGACGTCAGCGAAACGGGTCAGCTGATAGGTGTAAACATTAGGGAAAGGCTTAACCCACACACACACACATATCTCTGAGTGTTTAGATATAAAAAGCACACCTGAGTACCTGTTACTGGCAGAAGATAACGATAATTAATTACAGGTATGATGTAATATCTTAATCGAACTATCAAGTGTCACATGATAAATAAAACTAAATAAATAAAAAAAATATAAACGATTAACTTGGAAGGCAATACCCACGTAGCCACACTGTATACCTGCATTAATTATATACATGGTGAACTGTATACCTGTACTGTCTATATACATGGTGAACTGTATACCTGTATTAATTATATACATGGTGAACTGTATACCTGTACTGTCTATATACATGGTGAACTGTATACCTGTACTAGCTATATACATGGTGAACTGTATACCTGTACTAGCTATATACATGGTGAACTGTATACCTGTACTGTCTATATACATGGTGAACTGTATACCTGTACTGTCTATATACATGGTGAACTATACCTGTACTAGCTATATACATGGTGAACTGTATACCTGTACTAGCTATATACATGGTGAACTGTATACCTGTACTGTCTATATACATGGTGAACTGTATACCTGTACTGCTATATACATGGTGAACTGTATACCTGTACTAGCTATATACATGGTGAACTGTATACCTGTACTGTCTATATACATGGTGAACTGTATACCTGTACTGTCTATATACATGGTGAACTGTATACCTGTACTAGCTATATACATGGTGAACTGTATACCTGTACTGCTATATACATGGTGAACTGTATACCTGTACTTGCTATATACATGGTGAACTGTATACCTGTACTGTCTATATACATGGTGAACTGTATACCTGCAATTGTCTATACATGGTGAACTGTATACCTGGGTACTGTCTATATACATGGTAGAATCCGTATACCTGTACTGTCTATATACATGTGAACTGTATACCTGTACTGTCTATATATACATGGTGAACTGTATACCTGTACTGTCTATATACATGGTGAACTGTATACCTGCACTAGCTATATACATGGTGAACTGTATACCTGTACTGTCTATATACATGGTGAACTGTATACCTGCACTAGCTATATACATGGTGAACTGTATACCTGTACTGTCTATATACATGGTGAACTGTATACCTGTACTAGCTATATACATGGTGAACTGTATACCTGTATTGTCTATATACATGGTGAACTGTATACCTGTACTGTCTATATACATGGTGAACTGTATACCTGTATTGTCTATATACATGGTGAACTGTATACCTGTATTGTCTATATACATGGTGAACTGTATACCTGTACTGCCTATATACATGGTGAACTGTATACCTGTACTGTCTATATACATGGTGAACTGTATACCTGTATTGTCTATATACATGGTGAACCGTATACCTGTATTGTCTATATACATGGTGAACTGTATACCTGTACTGTCTATATACATGGTGAACTGTATACCTGTACTGTCTATATACATGGTGAACTGTATACCTGTACTAGCTATATACATGGTGAACTGTATACCTGTACTAGCTATATACATGGTGAACTGTATACCTGTATTGTCTATACATATTGTGGTGAACTGTATACTGTATTGTCTATATACATGGTGAACTGTATACCTGTACTGTCTATATACATGGTGAACTGTATACCTTACTGTCTATATACATGGTGAACTGTATACCTTGCATTGGTTCATATGTTGATGGTGAACTGTATACCTGTACTGCTCATATACATGGTGAACTGTATACCTGCACTAGCTATATACATGGTGAACTGTATACCTGGTAATTGTCTATATACTTGGTGAACTGCACTAAATGTCTATATACATGGTAAACTGTATACCTGGTACTAGCTATATACATGGTGAACTGTATACCTGTACTGTCTATATACATGGTGAACTGTAT